AAAATTCACACTGATTCCCTTGCGAAGATACGGACATAGGAATATTCGTGTGTGGTCAAAAAAATGGCATAAAAATGACAAAGTGAAGGCTGTGAAAACATTTACAATGTACTTTATACACAAAGCAAGTGTTCTCACAACTCTCAAGGTGACTTTACCGCGGTTTTCATTTTCAGATTGTGAATCAAAAAAGCCATTTAATTAAACATGTGATTGCGATTTTAATCATTTTAATTGTTTAAATTTAAAAGTCTAAAGGGTATACAACTTAAATTCTTAATTGAATAAAGATTGTCCCTCAGCAGTGATCGGGATTCGAAACCGACGTTTTCTGGTGACAGCTCAAAAGCTGTACAGGAGAGGTTAACCTTTATTAGCTCCACCTGGTTTTACAAGGTGATTCCGGATACTATTAACATAACCTAATTTGCATACGGTATGATTCGGTATACTGCGACACACCCACCGTGTTATACCGCAGCATACTCCGCTTGTTTTGAATGGCTGCATCTGTATATGTCCAGGGTGTATGCAATACATTATGTCCAAGTAGTGCAGTATGCCGAATACAATGCAAACTGTATGCCCATGTACTGTAGTCATTATGGGTGATTTGCTGAAGGAACTGCAGCTTGGCTATTTAGCAGTCTTATTGCCTGGAGGTAGAAGCTTCTCTCTAATCTGTTGGTCTTTGACTGAATGCTTCAGTACCGTTTACCAGATGGGAGGAGAGAAAACAGTTTGTGACTGGGATGACTAGGGTCTTTTAGAATGTTCCTGGACTTTCTAAGACATCTAGCTGAGTAAATATCCTGGGTGTTTGGTAGCTCACAGCTGGTAATGAGCTGTGCTGACTTCATCACCCTCTGCAGTACTTTGCAATCCTGGGAGGAGCAGTTCCCATACCAGGCAGTGATGCAACCAGTCAGGACACTCTCAATAGTGCACCTATAGAAGTTGGCCTGGATATGTGACGGCATGCCGAACTTCTTTAGCCTGCTGTTTTGACCACGATGTTGGTGTGCTGGGTCCAGGTTAATTTCCCTGTGATGTTAACTCCCAGGAACTTAAAACTGCTGACCCTCTACACTGCAGTCCCATTGATATAAATAGGTATGTGATCTCCTCCCTAGTGTTTCCTATAATCCACAATCATCTCCTTAGTCTTACTGATGTTCACAGAGAGGTTGTTCTCCTGGCACCCTGCTGCCAGGGTTTCAACCTCCTCCCTGTACGGAGACTCTTCACCATCTGTGATCAGGCAGATGACTGTTGTATTGTCTGCAAACTTAATGATGGAGTTTGAGTTATGCCTGGCGACACAATCATGAGTAAATAAGGAGTAGAAGACAGGGCTAAGCACACAGCCTTGGGGGGCTCCAGCGTTTAGAGTTGGGGTAGAGGATATGTTGGTGCCCACCCTCACCACCTGCGGACGTTTCATCAAGAAGTCCAGGATAAAATTACAAATGAAGGTGTTCAGTCCCAGGTCCTGGAGCTTGATGACAAGTTTGAGGGCACTATGGTATTAAATGCTGAGCTGTAGCCAACAAACAGCATTCTCACAAATGTTCCTTTCTTATCCAGGTGTGAGAGGGCTGTATAGAGGGCAGTGGCAATAGCATCTTCTGTTGACCTGTTCTGGCAATACAAGAGAATAATTCACAAGAGAAAAGTGATTGCGGGTCCAAGCAGTTCACACTCTTTAGACAGGAAGAAGACCGGTTTGTTCCTGATGTAGCGCTAGTCCTGAATCCTGAGATTCAGCTGTCCACAGTTCAGACCGTAGTTCACTTGTTGATCAGGCGAGCGTTCGCGGTGGGTACCGGCAGTTCACGAGGCTTCTTGCTGGGCTAACCTCAGGTGGATCCTTTGGTTACGCGCTGGCAACCTCCATTCTTGACTCTTAGAACAAAGTAAAGTCCTGACACTCGGACACACTGGCTGTTACCAGATTTTCCGAGCTGAGTCTAAGAATGTCCAGGAGGAGCCCTGAGGAGCTCTGTGCTGCCTTTTACCAGGAGGAACTATGGTCGTTCATTGTTTGAAAGTTTCATGGGCATCTGAGACCTACATGGGGTTACCCTGCCCTACTAGTTCCTGATTGGCTGATCTAGGTGCAGGATGAGTAACCATCCTCTCTGACATTAGGGTTGTAAACAACTTCTGGAGAATCTCAGCTTTGGGAATTGTTCCTTATCAGGAAGCTCTATTAGCTAGAAAAACACCTTAAATGTGAACCAAATTGAATGGCCTCTCTTTATCCAGCACCACTGAGATGAAGGAGAGAGGGACTGCCAAGGGAGCAGCAAACTTAATTCCTGTACTTTAATAAGCCTTGCCGCTACACTAGACTTCGATTCTGTGGCAGGGGATCCCAGAAAGCGGGTTTGCTGGGATGCTTTGGGATCAGTCAAGGATCCTGACATGTTGGCAGAGCAGTGATGTCCTGATGATTTCTATCTCCTGCATGAGAAACTTGGGGATGCCGTCTTGCCTATGAATCTTGCCATCTTTGGAGATGTCAAAATTTGCCATGGGAAGGAGGGACAAGACCCTGTCAAAGAATCTTGTGCTCACTCCCCCAGACTTAACAAAATGCTTCCTCTACACCAGACCTTGCAAACAGAGCGTTCTGATTCTGAGCTGTAGTTAATGATTTGTCTATCTGTTTTTTTCTTGAATGTCATACAGCCTTGCTCACTCTACCAGTAACATTCAGCCAATGCAGAAATGTGTTTAAAAGTTTATAAAAAGTTTGACACTGATCCATTCATACTCCCTGTTTTCTTTAAGTAGAGCATGCAGATGTTTTTCATCAAATGGGCATATATTGACATATGTAATAGGTTTATTCCATGCTGAAAAAAAGAAGAAAGAGAACACAACGTTTCGGCCGTGGAGCCTTCTTCAGGTGTGTGAACAGAACACACCTGAAGAAGGCTCCACGGCCGAAACATTGTGTTCTCTTTCTTCTTTTTTTCAGCATGGAATAAACCTATTACTTGTTCCTTTGCAGCCTACGCATGCTGACGCAGCTACCCACCTGAACATATATTGACATATGAATGGTCCCTGCTTATTTTTTCAGGTGTTTTGTCAGCTGCCCAGTTTTTGGTTGATGACTCCATTCCAGTTTAAATTTGTGTTAAATTTTCTTTTTGTTTTTTGTTTTTTTTCAGATGACTTGTTAGTCCCACCAAGCAACACCAGTACAGACTTGGCAGATGTCATGGAACAGATCAATAACACTTTTCCTGCATGCAGTCGTAAGTGCAGCAAAGTTGACTTCTCTTCACATCCCTTCCAGTGCTTTCCAATTAAAGTAGAACAATTTTAGAAAAACTACGTCAAAATTTTTAAAGATAAACTTTTGACTTCTTAGCTGCTATTTTGCCTATTTAGTACATTGAAAAAATGTTATGTTACTATTCGCCCCTCAGATTTATTAGGTATTGGTTAGTCGTCTTTGTTCTGACACCTGAAAACATTTACTGAGGCACAGAAACTAAAGCACAAGAACTTTCCCATATGTGGCGTTCTCCAGCTTTTTGCTCTATCAGCGCTGCATTAGTATGTTAGGTGGTAGCTTATAAGTTGTGGGCATCACACTGCTTGTCTTTGCCAATTTTTGTCAGCAAAACATGGAACTTGTTTCTAAAGGTTGAAAAGTTTGTACAGTGATCTTGGAAAGAGTTTACATTATTTCTGAAAGAGATTGCTGATGTTTCTGTGAAAATGTTGATTTCAGACTGAACCTACTTCTTCTTCTTCTTCTTCTTTTAATGCCACAAGAAATAAAGGTTTTGATAAATAGTCTGCTACTATTCAACTTACATTGGCATTTATTAGGGCCTGTAGATTCAGTGAAGGATTTATTAGTTTGCATGTTGAGGAGCTTGACTATTCCAGTTGAGGCTCCAAAGCAGCAGTAATTAATTAGCAGTTTGTAGTGATTTATCACTGCCGCCTTTACATGACTTTGAGCTGCACCATGTGTTCCTGCCGCCTAATGCTTTAGTGAAAGCGTTAGAATACAATTGGCTGTTGTTGTTCAATAAAGCTGTCAAACACAGGACAGGAAATAGTATGTCTTCACAGTAGATTTCCATTGAATGGATATTGTACTAGAATGCAGAACATTAAAAAGTGTTTTAATTATTAATTTTGGTATATCAGGACCACAAGAAGTACCAGAAGATCATGCTTCACTAAAGCAACTTTAGCATGTTCTTTGCAGCAGAATGTGTGTGAATTGCATTTAATCTTTAATCATAATTGGTTCTACAATTACCAAAATGAACTCTAGGGTGACTTGGCATTGAAACTCTGCATGCTCCTTCAACAAATATTGTAGGACCAAAATAGATCTATATTCTGTCTGAAGACATATTTGAATATCAAGTTCAAGTTTGTCATTATACTCACACAGGTATATGGTATAACAAAATGCTATGTACAGTAGCTAGCTCTCAGACAGTAAGTAGTGCAAACAACAATACAATTGTGCAAGAAAAGAAGTCAAAGAATACAGGCAATGTGCAAAACAACAACAGTTGTGCAAAATCATACATCAACAGAATGGAATAAATGATAGTAAATCATGGAGAGTAAACATCTTGACATGTGAGGTAGAGGTTGATTTCCATGTGTGTTTGAGTTTTGAAGAGAGAAGGCACCGTAAGAGTTCAGATCGTAGGTGAGAGAGGCTGGGAGTTTAATAGTTTGAAAGTGCAAGGGTAAAAACTGACTATGAGTCTGGTAATTTGGCCCAAATTGTCCAGTACCGGTTTCCAGATGGTATGGAATAATGTAATCGAATTTACAGTATGTATGGAATATAATGTACTTATATAATGGAATATATGTATGGATGGAGTATACTGTATAAGCTGTGATGGCAGATGACTGGTGCAGCATTAATTAAATATCTGTCTGTAAATTCTGTGCATTGGTGAATTGTATTTATTTTAGTTAAATGGGGGCAATAGTAACTACATAATAGATGTCATTATATATTATATATGAATCTTGACATGCCTGTGTGCTATTAGAAATTTTAATGTGTAATATTCAATGTGTGTTTTATTTCTCTTGATTGTTATTTGATACAGGACACAGATTTGGTTCGGTATACTGATTATTGGGATTAAAACATGTAACACAATATTCTTGTTTCAAATCTTCAATCTGCTATGGGCTCCTAGTGCTCTGAAACTGATTTGCTGCCTTCAGAATCATGAAAAAAATCAAACTAAAAAAAATCACAGGAATTTTGTATGACAATTTGTTGTATTACGGCTTTATTTCCTATAATGTATACTGCATGTGAAATTAATGGCTTTTCTCTTACCTTTCCTTTTCATAATGTGCTACAGCAAGTATTGCCCCAAGACCACAGGTAAGAATTTTTAATGAGATTTCGTAGCTTATTTGATTTTAGTCAAGGATATTTCCAAGATTTTAGAAATAGAATTTATGTTATGATGGTACTTCAATTAAATTCAAATTTAAGAAAAATACCTTATTAAATAAAAGTTCAATAGTTTTCTTTCTTGGCAATAACTGTTATAAGTTTTATTCTAATACCATACTAATTCAGTAGCTATGAATATGAGTTTTTTGCTCATTTTTGTTCCTTGATAATGGTGTAAAATTTCTGTTAATTAGAGAAATCTGTGTTTGGTAGTGTTATGTTGAGCACTGCAGTCCAAATTGTTGTTCATTGGGTAACCATTGACCATATCGGAGTTACATTACATATTGCTGTACACATTAACTTACTCAGTATTGACATTAATGAATGAAAAAATGAATTAATTAACTGACTTAATTCTTAACTCCTGAAATTTGTTCTTTGGGTGCATTTATTTCAAAGTAATAATCACTTTCTTTTTTCTTGCTTTTTTGTGCAGCAGGATGTTAATTATTTTTGTTCAAGATAAGACATTATTTATGAAATGCTTGTTTTTATGCCATTATTAATCGCTAAATTTTGGTTTTCACGCTCAGATACTGAAACAACCAACCTAATCAACATTTATCAGATATTAAGAGATTTAAAATTCTAGTCAACATTTTTGTTTCCTCTGAATGCAACAATATTACAACTGCAAAATCTGTCCTACATTTGTCTATTTTAAATAGACTAACATTGCTGCCTTATCTTTTCTCATTATAAACCATTGGCTTTTGCAGCTGTGTTTAAGAAGAGCCTGTCATTTTTAGTCTCTTGACTTTTTCAGATCAGAGCTTGGTAACCTATTAAAGCAGTATGTATCCTGGTGACTATGGCTATTAGTAGACCCTTATCCAAAGCAGACCACCGCTGCCATAGTCTAGCTGTGTCTTGCCTGCAGTGACTGAACTATTTGGTTCTGCTGAGACAGCAAAGAAGAATTAATTTTTTGCTGAGGGATTTTATTTTGTTTTTTAAATCTCCTCTTGTTATAATGATATTGTATGAAATGTTTTTAATCTGTCCTGGGTAGTCTGGGTAGTCTGTTTTCTGCGGTGAAAACCTAATGACAATAAATGAATGGCATAAATCTACCTTGTATATTTTCTCTCTTTGTTAAGGTGATGTGAGGAATCTTTTAAGGAGAAGAGTACAGTGAGCACTCCCCAGAGGACTGACCACTTCAGTAGTGGCCTTTTTATTTGCGATTGTTTGGGATTTCATCTGTTTGGCCAGATGAAAGAACTACTGAAGACCCAAAGACACAGACCAGGACCAGAGTTTCCATATATTGTCTTCTCATACTATGCAATTGTAAATTTCTGAACTGTAGATTATATTCAGAGTTGGTTAAACATTTGTCAGTGATTTGTATAAATATTAATTAGTTGGGGGGAGGGGTCTTTATATCTGCATTTTTCCTATCCTGAGTATGGTTTAGAAATAATATTAAGGTTAAACTGTTACATTTCTACATTCCTCAGCTCTTCGCTTTAATACTGTAAAATTGCTTTCTTCACTTCAGACATTGCTATCTTTTGAGATAAGCCGTGAAAGAAACAGTATTTCAAAAACATGAAAGTGTTCTGGGGTAAAACATTTAAAGAGACTGTTTCATGTATATCTGCTGTATACAATGTTAAGCTCCTTTGAAACTTTGCTTGTGACAGGGATATGCATAAAAACATTGTGTGAAGTAAGGTTTTTTTTTCTAATGTTTGATGTGACCACCCTTTTAATGCATAGGTGTGATAAGCAGTCTGTGCATCAAGCTTAATATGCACTGTATTGTACATATGCATACAGAAACAGGCTCTTTAAATCCCAGCTGTGCCTATACAGTTCTCGTTCCAGCTGAAGACAGAGATTTAAATAATGTGTCGGCCTAAAATAGAAAGAAAAAATGCTAAACTGGAATATGTTTTTGAGGCCCAATATAATTTTATGTGTAGTATATAGTTTTATAAATGTTTTAAATCAGATGAAAGCCATGACTGCCTTTCTACCTCAGACACAGCTCCCTTCCCACGCTCTGTATTTTGTTGATTGTTGATCCATAAAACACACAGCTTTTGCAAGCTTTGTAATAGACAACAAAGAGTGAAAAACACCTCCTAGTTCCTCGCAGCAGGGTCAGTGGTCTTTGTTACTCACTTAAGATCTATGTATAAAATATTCTCTGGCCTCTTCAGACCTTTTTCTAACAGCATATACAATGTGGTGTGTGCTGTGCTATCAATACTTTTAACACTAATATAGACTCTCAGCTGTACCCTTGGACGATGATATGGTGAACTTTAATATTAAGCAACTTGTTGTCATTTTGAGGTATATAGGATAGATTGGTGACACTACATCTAATACAGCTGCACGTATTATATTTTAAATATTTTTTATAACAAATCAGTAACTTTATTTTCTGCGTATCACAAAGAGTTACTGGTAAATTATATATACTTGATTCTGTGTATGACAAGAGGTATACTTCGGTATTTGTCTTATTATCTTATAGTGACCAAAATATCATTACATTCAATTCATTCTTTACCACTGGAGTGACATGAGGGTCAGTTTTTTTTATGTTGGATTTAACTAATTGTTATGCATGGTAAAAGTGTACAGATGGGATGGTGCATTTTTTAATAAATTAAATATTCAAGATGATTTTATTTCTGAAATTACCCAGAGTAAAAAAGTGTTTTGTTTACTTCTGTGAATCTATAGTTTTATTACTTTAATAGAATCACACTATAAAACATGTGGATGCCATAATTATTGTTTCCTGTTGCATATGGGAGCTGATGTCTGCATTAAACACTATTGTTTCGCTCAGCCACTGCAGTGTATACAATTGAAAATGTATTAAAATTTTTAAAGCACAAAAGCTTAGAATGTTTTGTTAACACAAGTAATGAGTGTTAAGATCCAGTCTTGTTTTCAGACTTTGTTACAATGTTGTGCAAGGTCAATTCATGACATCTAATAGTCTATTTAGTATCTTACTGGTTTCATATTCATTTCATCATGAATTGCATGTTGTTAGTGTTGTAATTTTGTATGATTTCATGAGGTACTGTTAGAAGATGTTTCTTTGAATAAGTGCAACAGAAAAAACATCTAAGCAGTGTCAACAGAAGAGTGCCAGTCTGAATGTATAGCAATTAAAACATGACACATTTGACATACTGTATTGCAGTCTCCAAAATGCCAGAAGAGGTTTCTCACTGATGTTCCTGCAAGTCTGCAGGACCCTACAACTTTCAGGGGTCACAGGTGTGCTGAGAAAGCCACCTCCAAATACCTGCCCTCAGAGTGCACCACCACTTGAGGAATGCTGGGTGAAGTCAGCCAGTCACATGACCTGAGCTTCAACCCATGAGCCAATTAGAAAGCCACAAACTGGAAACTTTTTGAAAAGACCAATATATCATTATTTTCCCAGTTATTTAATAAAAATTCTTAAAAAAGGAAATGCTAACCTAATATCAGTTCCATTTTTAAAGACCTAAGATACATAATGGGTTTGAATTTAATGCAAAGTTTACAGTATATTTGGAAACTTGAGCTTTTTTAAACAGTGTAATAAAGTTTAAAAGTTCTTTTTAATTACATAATCTAAAAAACTTAAAACATATGGCCACCATTATCAGTTTTAGTGCTGAACACCGAAGGTGGCATAGTTCATAAAGCTATAAATCACTGACTTTATACTGGCCCCCTTGAAAAGAAAATGAACATAATTTGAGCATCCAGGTTTATGGAGGTGAAAGGTCCCCAGGTGTGATCTAACACTATATGCTGTACTCCACATTGGGCACAATATTGTCTTTCACATGAACGTTTTTTAGAAACTACGTTAAGTGACTATTGAGTCTACCAGTAGAAAAAAATATCTCCTTGTTAAATGTTCATTTACTGTATATTGATAAATGGGTATTTTAAAGAAATACCTTTACAAGATAATTATTTAAAAAAAAGTTCCACAGGAATGTGGTATTTACAGTATTTACAAGTATGTAGCAAGCATGTGGTATTTGCAAGTATTCTTTGAACAAGCAACAAGGATAGTATAGCATTGTTGCACTCATCTGCAGAAGAGCAATGGTCTGGATTAAAAGGTGGGTGGCTGAATCTGATTGCAGACAAGGAGTTGATGAAATGGTGTTCACACAGACAAATCGGAAGTAAATGCAGTCTGGGAGAAAGACGAGCAGTAGTGCCCGTGAATATGGGTGAACACAATTTAGGGAGATTCCAAGTGTCATCTCAGAAGCATGCCAAGTTTGGTACCCAAAAACAGTCCAAAAACCGTAGTCGGCCAAGTAAGGTCAAGCACAGAGAAGCAATCAGGAACTATGGGACAATTAGATTCGAAGAACGGAGCAAGAAGTCAAAACCCAGGCAGAAACAAGCTTGGAGAGACAGCTGCACTTGTGAAAACTCAAATGATGCACTATGACAGAGTGAGGGGTCCCGTCTTCATGAGGTTTATATATCTGATGGTGGACCAGATAATTAACAGATTTATTATATTGCGGTGGTATCAATCTCCATCTTGACCTCGTTACTATGGCAACTGATGGATCAACAGGTTGAGTGGGTGGTTGCCTGGAGACAGATGTATTACGGTTGCGTGCACCAATGGAATTTCACTTGCTGGCATGACATAAATTATAAATCTTTTAATAAGGTCCCTTGTAATGGTTGATTTTCTACATCTAATTGGGCAGATACAGGCAGGGAGTTGTTCTTGGCCTGTTGCTCTTCCAGCTCTTTATCAACAATTTAGATCATGGTATAGTTATGAAACTATTTCAAGCTGCAGATGAGACAAATACTGTATAGTGTGATTAGTAAATGCAGAAACAAAGAAATTACAGAAAGACATTCACAATCATGAATTGGCCAGATGCATAACAAATTAAATTTAACTTCTGTATGTGTGAAGTGATCCACACTGGGATTAGGAACATACACCATATATCACATTGGTGATTCAGAGCTCCAGGAAGCTTGGCATGAAAGATATCTCAGTGTGCACAGTGCCCTCCAAAAGTACTGGGACAAGAGTTCAAGTTAACTCATTACAGCTATATGCTCAGGAAGTTTCGTTTTCAAATCACAATATGAATATGAGACAACAGCAGTGAATATTACCTTTTACCTATGAATATTTTTATGCAAAATGTTTTACCGTTATACAATAACAACACTTTTCTTGTTCTACCCCCCACATTTTACATGAACATACTGTTAAGTATTGGGACAAACAGGTTTACAGGTGTTTCTAATTGTCCACGTGTTACATGTTGCATACATTTCACACACACAAAAGGGTTTTGAAGATCTAGGCACGGTTGAGGTCTTTTGAAACTCATCCTGAAGTCTTTCCCTTGAAATAGTCGGCAAAAACCAACATGAAGACCAGAGAACTTGCTATGACAGAAAAGAAAGCCATTTTGATATTGGTAAGATGTACAAAATAAGACAAATGAAAAATATTTTAAGTGTAAAGACAAACCCCAATAGTGAAATCAAAAATAATCTCCAGAGTTGGGGTGCAAATCTTGAGTATCCACAATCTGCAGAATGCTTCACCAAGGAAAATTCAGAGGCTGTACTGTGAGGTGTAAGCCCCTCATCAGCAGCAAGAACAGAATGGCTTGATTAGAACTTGCAAAAAAAATACAGAGATGAGTCACAGGAGTTCAGGACCAGGGTTTTAGGGACAGATGAGACCAAAGTAAACATCTGTCACAGTGATAGAAAGGCTAAAGTATGGAGAAAAACAGGAACAGCCAATGACAATAAGCATACCACAGCATGGTGGAGGGACTATCATGGTCTGGGCATGTATGGCTGCATCCAGAACAAGTTCAATGGTTTTTATTGATGACTTAACTGAAGATAGCAGCAGTAGGATGAATTCAGAGATATACAGTACAAACAGATATTGTCTGAAAATGTAAGAAAAAAATGACACCAGGCTTATTGGGTGGCAGTTGGACAATGACCCAGAGTTCATCAGACAGAAAAAGTAGAACATTTTAAACTGGCCAAATCAATCATCACATCTGAATTAAATTGAGCAAGCATTTCATTTGTTCAAAAGGAAACTGAAGGCAGAAAGCTCAACTAACAAGCAGCAACTTAAAGAGGCTGCAGTTAAGCCCAGCAAAGCCTCTCAAGTGATGAAACAAAGAGTTTGGTGATGTCAATGGGATTGAGGGTTGATGCAGTAATTGCAAGGAGCAAAATATTGGCTTTATCACTTCTTTAATTTGCTTTAAGTGTCCCAATACTTATGGTTGAATAGTTGTGTTTGTAAAATATATCCTAAAAATCAAAAGTGACCTTCTGAACTCTGACTCAGAACAATTTGTTTTATGTGAATTTCAATGTCTTGTGTATACAACAGGGAAACACTAATTTTAGTTTTTTGTCCCAATAATTTTAGAGGGCACTATTTGCAGATTTATCGATACTATGTCATCATCAAAATAATGTGGATAAACAAAAAATGTTAGCTGAATGTTTGGATATAGAACAGAAATACGAATTTAAATCCAGGGAATTTATGTTAAAGCTTTACAGTATATTTCAATAGTAAAACCTTCCTCAATTAGAATTGTCTTCAGTTTTGGTTACAACAACACATAATTTAATATAAAGCAGCATGTTTCCCACTAAAAGGATTATCATACATAGACAGGTTAAAGAGTCAAATAATCTTTATAAGAAAGGAGATTGAGAGGAATTTAATTTAAATTTAATTCAGGTATATGAGGTCCTAAGGAATATAAATAGGTTCATCTCAGGAGACTACTTCATATTCTGTAGTGAAAGAAAGACCAAGGAGCCACCGTTATAAATTAAAAGGAAATTCATGTAGGACGCAGAGAAGGAAAGACTTAACTTAAATAGACTTCTCAGTCAGATAGTTTAAATGTAGCTACTAAACCAATAAAAGAACAATATGGGCCAAGTGGCTTTCTTTCATTTGCATCCTTTTGTATGCATATAACCGAATGAAAACATTCTCTTGTAGATATTTATGCTTCTAAATTGAAAATAAATTTACTTGATCATATTCTCCCCCTGTAGATTTTCTAGATCTATAGTGTCATTCAATAATAATTTATAGATAGATTGATAATTGTTTACACTTATATAGCGCATTTCTGGACACTCCACTCAAACGTGCTCTACAGGTAATGGGGATCTCCTCCACCACCACCAATGTGCAGCATCCACCTGGATGATGTGACAGCAGCCATAGTGCACATCAGCTATTAGTGGGGAGGAGAACAGAGTAATGAAGCCAGTTCATAGATGGGGATTATTAGGAGGCCATGATGATAAGGCCCCATGGGAAATTTTGCCAGGAGCCGGGGTTAAACCTCCCTGGGATTTTAATGACCACAGAGAGTCATGACCTCAGTTTTACATCTCATCCGAAGAACAGCACCTTTCTACGGTATAGTGTCCCTGTCACTATAATGGGGCATTAGGACCTACATAGACTGCAGGGTGAGTTCCCCCTGCTGGCCCCACTAACACCTCTTCCAGCAGCAACCTTAGTTTTTCCCAGGAGGTCTCCCATCCAGGTACTTACAGTAGCTTAGCTTCATTGGGCTGCCAGTTGTGAGTTGCAGGGTGATATGGCTGCTGGCAGATCCCTTTGAAAACTGTTTTTACTTCATGAGATGATAGAATTTAAAAGTTGTAATGAACATTGCTTAGACAGCATTTTCATAAATGTGGTATTCAACTGATTACAATTTATTAACTGCAGACACTTTCATGACTTGCCCTTTACTGCCTTAATATACTCAGCTTATCAGTCTTATCCTGCAGCACATGCAGATGCTCTTGGCTTGCCTA